GGGCACAGGTGGTGTACGGGTGACACTGTACACCAAGGCAGGAACATGGGTACTGTTATCTGGTGACATGCTGTCTATCATCCTGTCACTTTCCTAGCCCAAGGGCACCTCAAGGTCAGGGAGTGGGTCTGAGTCACCCCTGGGTCTCCAGCCTCAGGGCAGTGCGTGGCCCAGTTGGAGCACCCAGGGCATTTTGTGTGGTCATGCTCAGTCACATTGCGTGGCTCCGCTGTCTTGGCGGCTCTTCTACAAGTAGGGGCTGGCTTATCACACTCCCTGCCGGTTCCAGAGACCCAACTCACAGAGTGCCCAAGGGTGTGTGTGCGTGGCTACTTGGCAGCATGTGCATCCTGCCAGCACCTGTGTGCACGCATGCTAAGTCACTTCAGTTGAGTCAGACTCTTTACAACACTATGAACGGTAGCCTGCCAGGCTCCTCTGTCCATGGGATTCTCCAGGAAAGAATACTGAAGTGGGTTGCCATTTCCTTCTCCAGGGGATCTTCCTGACCCAGGGATCGAATCTGCATCTCTTACATCTCTTGCCTTGGTAGGTAAATTCTTTACCATTAGTGCCACCTGGGAAGCCCTACCAGCACCAGCAGGCACCACCAGTTACCTTCTCGGGGCTTCCTATCTGCTGGATGCTGTCCACCTGCCTCTCCCTCTGTTGGGTGTTTCTGCTCAGAGAAAGCTGGCTGAAAGTCACTTGATCAGAAAAGCATTATTGGGAAGAAGGAGATGGCAGACAAACTCTATAGGACATTCTGAAACAGCGCAGTGTGACCACCGGCCAATCCTTGGTGTGAAGTTGGTTGTCCCCCAATCCCCATTGCTCCCACTTGCATGTGGAATTGCCTTGTGAGAGTCACAGAGACAGAAAAATCTGATGAGGAAAAACCCAAGAGACTCCTTTGTTACATACCCCCAGCAGCATGTGCCCGCAAGAATCAATGTCATAGGATGTTATAAGCATTCTGCAAAAGTTGAGCCAAGACAAGTTGAATAGAAACAGTTCTCCTGATTACAGACTTATGTTCATCTGCCTGCTGATTATCTTTACAGATATTAGACAGCATTTCTCAAACATTTTCTTGAATTTTTTCTTTCTGGAACTGTTTTTCGAAATTTTTCATATTCTGAAGGATACTTTGAAAAATGATGATCTGGAATAATGATCTTTGTTCCAACCCCCAATGTTCATTTTGCAGATTAAGAAAGAGTAAAGAATGAAAAGGGAGTTGCCAAGACCTTGCAGCTGGTCATGCTGGATGTAGGCCTTGGTCTCAGGGATGCTGAGTTGCTTCTGCTCCCGGGATCTCACTTGAGATCACCCCATGCCCGCAGGATGGGCCTTGTATCCAAGGTCAATGTCAGCAACTTTAGACTGTAAGTTCCTGGTGAACACCCTCTCTCTAAAACCAACCTTTAACTACACCCAAAGGTGAGCAACAAGGTGAGTGGGCAGGGAACTCAGGCCTTCACATCCTATAGCTTGACCAGCTCCATTACAGCCCCCGTCCACAGCCCAGGGAGGAGAAACACACAGGACTCGTGGGTTTCTGGAACTCACAGGCTGTGAGAGGTTAAGGAATACATCGGAATTGTGCAGCTGGAGCAAGGATAGGACTTGAATCCAAGGCTCCTGTCACTGGTGCCAGGAAGCTAACTCTCAACTCACTATGTGGTAAGTGAGTACAGGACCTGGCCGGGGCCCCTTAATAGGCTGAGAAGTTCTTTGCCACCCGGCTCAGGGCAGGGTTCACTCACCTCGCCCTCCAGGGATGGAGAGGCAGTATGAGTGATACATTCCCCCTGGTATGACTGTACGTGTCTAATTCCTTCTCGGGGCCTTCTTAAGCCCTTGGCCTCAATTATGTTCTATGACTAGCAAGTGACACAAATTAATTATCTGCTGGGAAAAGAAGGGCTTTCTTTTATCTATTTGAAAGTAGTCACCTTCTCATTTCAAGGATTGGCCTCATAAATTCCAAGGAAGGACAAAGAAGATGGTTGCCAGTATGATTGGGGGAAAGAGAGCAGGAGGAGAAAAGACAGGCAGAGAGGCAGAGGGCGAGGAGGGTGGGGCCAAGCATGGAAATCCGCTTGCAGTTCAGGAGACCCGGCTTTGATCCCTGGGTCGGGAAGATTCCCTGCAGAAGGGAATGGCAACCCACTCCAGTATTTTTGCCTAGAGAATCCCATGGGCAGAGGAGCACGGCGGGCTACAGTCCCTGCGGTCACAAAGAGTCGGACAGGACAGAAGAGACTTTCACTTTCAAAGACATTATGCTAGAAGAATGTGGGGGGGGTACAAAGGAGGAGGTGCTGAAGTCTGCTGAGGGAGGATGGATGTCACAGTAGGCTGTAATATTTAATCTGAGTGTTCCATCATTCAGAAAATATAAGCTCCGGGAGGAAAAGGACCATCTTTGTTTAGTTCACCATCGTGTCCCCAGTGCCTGTCACAGTGATTGGCACACAGTGGATGCTCAACAAACATCCATCTGTTGAATGGATGGACAATCCGTAGGCATTGGCCAAACAATGGGGCAGGAAAAGCCTTCCAGAGAAGAGCGGCAGTGGGAGTGAAGACAGCTATAATGAGCAGCCATTCTCTAGGTCTAGAGCAACACACGTTGTGTTGAGGGGTAGAGAGGTAGACGCAAGTTTGGACAGGCAGCCAGGAACTGAAGTTCTGTGCCGGGGGCCCTTGATCATCATGAAATAACAGCAAATTCCTTTTACATAGAAAATCCCATTTCATCCTCACGGTCACTCTGTGAAGGATACAAGGAGGCTCAGAAGGCTTACAAGATCACAGAGTAGGAACCAGTACCTAATTTTGAACCCAAACCCTGTGATCTTTCTGTGACAGGGGCTCATCCCTCAGGGATCTGCCTGGGATGATTCACACACCTTAGTGATTTCTTTCTGGCCACTGATTATCCTCTGGGCTGGGTTCAGAGCACAGACATGTGTTTTCATGGCAAATAAAGATGACAAATATGCTAAAAAGAAAATCCATATGACCCATTCCAAAGGCAAGTAGGTGGTCATTTGCTTCATCAGACACTCTTTGCAATTCCCTGTATCTCTGTAACTGCCTTTTTTTTTTTTGCTCAAAGGTGAGTTGTCCAAGGGTAGCTGAAGACAAAGGGGATGGGAGCTTCGTGTCATTTCCTAGTCGCCCCAGGTCAAAAGGAGAAAGAGAGAAAAGTGTTGTCGGTAAGTCCACAGACAGGCCCCAAGGATTGGTACTGATCTGGGCATGGCCCACCAGAAAGTGTGTTGAGGATAGGATGCAAAAGGCATAGAAGACACCATTTCTGGCCCCAAGAGAACTGTATGCATGTGAGGGAAGAGACTAAGTGATGTTAGAAGAATGGATGACGTGGGAACAAACTGGTCTTCATGGATGCTTCCCACTTGAGCAATGGAAGGCAGTGACATGGGCTGTGAGCCAGACAAATCTGGGTTTCATCCTAGACCTGCCGCTTGCTGGCCAGATGATCTCGGCTATCAGAATAATACCAAATGCACATGGGCAGCTGTACCGGTCAATGCATGATCTCATCCGAATGGCAAGTACTGGGAAACAGTGTAGGACGAAGTACTTTTTGCAAATCCCATTTTCTAGATGAGGAAACTGAGGATCAGAGTGTGATTTAGCTAAAGTCACCCTGAAAGCCATGATCTGAGACTTCTATACCCCAGATCCCAGGGCCTCCCATGGTGCCACACTGAGGAGGAAAAGCCAAGTTCCCCCGAGCAACACCGACAAGGCATCTTAGCAAGAATCAGACAAAAGCAGGGCATGGATCTTAGATCCCCAAGGTCTTGGGCCAAGGGGTCTGGGGAAGGAAAACTGGAGTCTCATTAACATAGAGGTGGGGACCCAGGACTCCTGGGCTGTCTTCCTAGCTTCCTCCATCCTTTGCCCACTGCCCTTTTCTCCCAGGTTGCTGCCTAATTATAGAGCTGTTGATGCAAATTATTCTAATAACGGTGCTAATTTATACACATTTACATATAATTTGCAATTCATTTCCTGTCCACATTTAGTCAAACTTCACTAATTCAGACAGAAGTGGGGAAGCCTGGTCTGAAATGAAGAGTCTAAATTATAGAATAATTCAATAGTTTCTCACAGGAGAGTCTGCTTCAAAATCAAGCATGCGAAGTAAAAAGGAGGTATTGTCAAAATTTTCTTTGCAAACCCTTAAAATCTCCAAAACATGGACTCTCAGAAACTCAAAAGCCAAAAATTAATTCCTTTTATTTCTCTTTGAATTTGAGCTATGGAAGAAAAGACAATGGGTAAATAAAAGCTCTCTTTCTTCGCTTTCTCTCTGAATTTCTATAATGGAATTCAGGAAGTTCAAGTTCAGTTATGTGATATGATTCCACCTACTAACTTAGCCTGAACTAGTAAACGTCTCTGAGTGCAACATTCTCCATCCCTCAAAATATGCAGATTGGAATTACTTAACTGAGACATGAGAAATCATAAAGTAAATTGGTCTTTGATATATGTGGGTCATATAGTAAATAAACATAATTCAGAAAGTGCAAAATGACAACTGGCTTTGTGCAGTATACCCCGAATGATGGCATTGGAAAAGAGTCTGCTTTAAAAGTAATAATAAATGCACACAATGTGTACAAAATTAATGTACACACTGGCCTTGGTTGTGTAGTCTAACCACATGTGAGTAGGAATTCTTGCTCAACTGATTTTTTAGGGGGAGCACTCTTAGGAGTGAGGGAGGCCCGAGAGGGCGGGGGGCTGGAGAAGCAGAGTAGGAAGCAGGAAGTAGCTTCAGGCTGATCTCATGGGAAGGCTCGGCCCTAGAGCACTGAACGCACCAGTCAGTCCCACCTAAAGGACACTTGGTCTCCCCGCGCCAGTCAGCCACTGGCTGAGATCAGCTCTTAGGATGGAGGGGCATTGTCGGCTCCCAAGTCAGCTGCCCAGCACTCACAGTGCGTAAAGGGTACCTGGGTAGGGCGCTAAGAACATCTTCTGTAGTCCATCTTTGCACAGCTCTGACCCCCTCACTTCTCCCATTGTTTACTCCATCCGGACAGTGTCTCCAAAATCCTGAAGGGTCCCAGTTTCCTGGAAAACATTGTGAAGGAGGGTGACTAGAATGAACCACATCCCTGATATTTGCTCCCGAGGCCACTTCACTACTCTGTACTTCCCCCTCCACCACCTGTTTTAGATCTCACATTTTAGCACTTCCATTGGTCTAAGTAACTCATCTAGGGGTTGACCTACCTGGCACTGTCCAAGCTAGGGATCTGCTAACATCACCTGATAAATGGGATATGGCCGAATTTCCCAGAGTGGAATATGCTGCCTCCAAAACCCTAAGAAGCCCACTAAGTGTTATCTGTCTTGACAATAAGAGGTACAAGGAGCAATATCTCATCTTGAGGAGGGGCCACGTCTAGGCTATTAATCCTCTAAAAGCATCAGTGACATGGAATTCTCTAGGACCTAAATCTCCAGGCTTTCTCGACAACCCTCTGGAATGCATGGATCTTACCAAGACACCCAAGGTATTTGTTACTTCTCATTGAGTTCAACTAACATGATGGCATTAATACCATAGACCATTCTGACATTTTATCCAATATCCAGATGGTGTAGGACATTTTAGACCATATAAGAAGCAGATAATTCACATTCCCCCTGAGACAAGAAGGTGAATATATACTGTTGTCTGTTTCATATTAATGCCAACTGCTTTTGATTATCCTTGCTTATGGATATTTAAAAAAAAAGAATGTATTCATCAGATCAATAGCTACATACCATTTATCCAAGGCCATGTTAATCTCCCCTAGTAAGTAAGGATGACTGATAAAGCAGCTACGATTGGGACTGCCTTGCAGTAGTCCACTGTCATTGGTCACAATCCACTTGTGTTTTGCAGGGGCCAGACTGGTAAATTACATGGGACCATGACAAGGAACCGCCCCCTCAGCATCCTGTAAGTTACTTAGGGCAGTGCTAATCTTTGCCATCCTCCCTGGAATGTGATATCGTTGTTGGTCTTCTAGTGGAGGGAGAGAACTTTCATGGGGGGTCCTACTTGTCTTTCCCATTCAATAGTTCTTACACTATAGGTCAAGGAACCAAGGTTATACCTTCTACTAACTACGTCCATTCCAATTTTATTTCAGTAACCAGAAAAGTGGGCTTCCCTGTAGCTCAGCTGGTAAAGAATCCACCTGCAATGCAGGAGACCCTGGTTCAGTTGCTGGGTCGGGAAGATCCCCTGAAGGCGGTCATGGCAACCCACTCCAGTATTCTTGCCTGGAGAATCCCGTGGACAGAGGACTCTGGCGGGTTGCAGTCCATGGGGTCACAAAGAGTCAGACATAACTGATGAGCTAAGCACAGCCTTGAAACCAGAGAAATGACTACTTGGTGGATATCTTGAGACACTTGGAAGCCAAAATTTCATTTATTATCTGGCCTCCTCTAACCACAAAGAAGTGTCATAACCATGCTTTGTGTCCCCAGGTGTTGGAGTCAACTCAGACCTTGTCTTCAACAAACCTTGCAAGGCTATGAGTGTTAGTTTTCCCAGTACCTGGTTATGCAAGTAAATGGCTATAGGTGCTTTGTGGGGTAACTTGGGTAATCAGGTACCCTGCAAAGTATACAGGTGTATACAGTTTTCTGCTATATACACTTATCATAGTGTTGCAGGCCCCCTTTTATGAGAACTTGGTCTCTCCTTTAGTCAATGAGTTTTGGGTTTGAGAACTGGTTCACTTCTGAAAGTTAGACAAGGGATCATGTTTTTCTATTAGAGAAGCTGAACTTGGCCTTATGTTCATCCATCCTTGATCTCTTTCTATTATTATCTATTAAGCAGTATACCTGCTGGCTGCCCATCTATTTTGCCTCTAGGAACACCATGATCCACGTACCATTTTAAAAAATCCCTGCAGGCCAGGCTCTTCTGATTGCCACCTCAACCTTGTTACCTGTTTCAGTAATCATGTCCACCTTGCCTCTGACAACTGGGTGCTATCATCAGGTCTCTGCTACTCTGGAACATTCTAACTTTTAATAGGGAGCCCGGTGTGGCACAGGATCTCCATCAGTCCTAATGCTGAGCCCTCTGGGGTTGTCAGTGCCCCTTATCACCTTGGTAATCAGAGTGTCATCCAGCCACCTCCCCTGCCCCCTGAAAACCAGTTAGCTGGTGGATTTTCCAGATTATATAACAGACCCACTCTAGGATGCCTCTTTCTCTGAGCCTTTTGATCCCTCCCTATCCAGTTCAACATGGCAATTCTGGCAACTCTGTTTTGTTTAATGTGGGCTGTCACTTTAGCCAAGCTTCCAAGAGCCATCTTAGCAGTGATTTAAAATAGAAACTCAGGGCCCTTGCCAGGGTTTGTGTGCTGTGTCACGGGAGAGTGCCCTGTTTTGGAAAACCCTCTGTAACAGCTTTGTATTCTGGCCCCCACCCCAGTGCAGGCCCTTCTGGGTCCACTCCTGTTTCCTGCCACTATATTAAAGCCAGGTACTCCTGTAGCTCTGGATTCTTCTGACCCCTTAGCCAGGCCAAGCAATCCACTAGTCTGGCTATGCTGAGATTTGACCCCAATCTATGGTTCTGATGACCAGAGGGCAGAGGGGGGTGGGGAAATCTGAGGAGGGCAAGCATTGTCCTTCCTTAATGCCTCACTTGAAGCCTCTGTATCACCTTCAAGCAAGTCTTTTACAAGGAAGAGATGGCCATTTGTGCAGGCTCAAATGATTCAGGGAACTCTGGGGAATCAGCCTTAAGTACGTTGATACAGATATTCCCACACCAAGAATCAAGGGTCCCACAACTTCCCTATTAGGGCTCTGGTCTCAGCATAGATGACTTACCTTGGCTGATACTTGAGTCTCCTTTGAAGTTTTGCCACTCCTACAATTAAGTCCTTTGCCTGCGTGGCTTTTAGCTCTGTCTGCTTCTGGCTACAGGTGTAAAAATTCTCTTTAAATGCCACAACTTGGCTTTAAATTGTTTATAGATTTGAGCTTATCATTTCCTCTCTCCAGCAAATCAGTGGAGCAAAAGTCACCCAATTCTGTAGTCTTTCTGGTTGTTATTACCCTCATTCCTTCTGTTATGGATTGAATTGTGTCTCCTCAAAAGTCTGTTGAAACCCTAACCCCTGATGTGACTGTATTTAGAGATAGGGCCTTTGAAAGAAATGAATGAGATTAAATGTGGTCATAAGGGTGGGGCCCTAATCCAATAGGATTGTGTCTTTTTATAAGAAGAGAGAGACACCAGAGACATGTAAGTACAGAGAAAAGGTCATGTGAAGATACCACAATGCGGCCACCTACAAGCCAAGGAGAACAGCTTCAGGTGAAATCAAATCTGCCAACACCTTGATCTTGGACTTCCAGATCACAAAATTATGAGAGATGAATTTCTGTTGTACAAGCCAGTCTGCAGCAACCCACATAGGCTAAGAAACCTTTCAGATTCCCAAGACACTAAACCAGATAGTGCATCCATTTCCCAGTTCACCATGTTAAAACTCTTAGCACTCATTGTGCTGCAGCCTGCCAGAGATCATTAAAACTCCATCTACCACCAACAATGGGGGCTCCATCGCAATCCAATTCTAGAATCCCATGCTCAGTGTCTGCTTTTTGTTTGTTTGCTTGCATACTTTTTTAGGATTACTCTTGAGACAAAATGGCTTAGGTTGGGATCTCCAAAAAGCAGAGGCTTAGATGAGGATTTTCATTGATTTATTGAATTCACTTGCTAATGCAGGAGATCTAGCTTCAATCCCTGGGTCAGGAAGATCCCCTGGAGTAGAAAATGCAACCTACTCCAATATTCTTGCCTGGGAAATCTCATGGACAGAGGAGCCTGGAAGGCTACAGTCCATGGGGTGGCGAAAGAGTCAGACACGACTTAAAAACTAAACAACAACAAGCTCAAGAGAGGGGAATGGAGGAAAGCAAAACAGGATGTGGGGACAAAGCTAAGCAGGAATGTGCCCTTGTCTGAAAACTATCTTCAGTCTGATCTCATTAGGAGGTCTTCAGTCAATTCTAACATAGAAATTGTCCCTCTTTGACGCAAGAGGGCTGCCCTTTTATGCTGTGCCAGTCATTCCCTGATGTCTGTCACTGGGGAAGAGAAGATGGGTGCAGAGCCTCTAAGGTGAAACATCTCCTGTTAGACCAAGAGAAATTCTCTGCAAAGAAGGTAGTTGATACATGTTATAAGCCAACCGTTACAGCAGCTGGGAGATGGGAACACCAGCTAGTGAAAGTTATCTGAGTGGGTACCAACAGCATCAACATCTACAAAGAGATAGATGGATGGGGGTGGATAGATACATGATAGATAAATAGAGATAAATAGGGATGGATGAATAGGTAGATGGAATGGATGGGTAGATAGAGAGATGGGGTGGATAGATAGATAGATTGATAGATAAATGAAGGAAGGAAAATAGAAACAGAGATGATAGATTGTAGGTAAGTAGACAGGTGTGTTGGTAGGTGGTAGACAGTGTTTTGTAGGAATTAATAGAGCAAGAGAAGTCTGGAAATACTCAAACCAACATATGTCTGCCAGATGAAAAAACACAAATGGTCTCATTGCATTCTATCCTCCCTAACATATCTCTTTGGAATCCAGGATACCAGTGCACACTGCTAATGATGACACAGATGAGGTTCTCTTGTTCCAGGTCAAGTTGCCCAGCAATCAGACCCTGAGATGGAGATTAGTGTGCAGGAAGATAATTTTGGAGCATTTATGGGCTCAACCCCTGTGGGAAAGGAAAGAAGCAAGACTGGGCAGAGGGAGGAGCTGGGCTGAAAGGCAGCCGCTTTAAAGGCTGCAGCAACATCACAGGGACTTAAAACTAGAACGGCATCTCAGAGCTGAACCAAGCTGAAGTAGTGACCAGGCCTTGACATCTTTACATGGGCCAATCATCAGATGCAGGCCACCCCACAAAAAGGCCATGACGTTGGTGAGATGACTGTCTTCAATGACAGGAATTCCTCAGGAGGGTTAACAGGTAAGAGCTGTCAGCTGACAACCCTCCAAACAGCCAGCAGAATGCCTCCTTCGGTCCTTCAGAAGGTTTGGGGTTGCACCGCACAGCATCCCGCATAATCACCTAACCTAGTCCCGGAGAGAGAGGAGGTCTCTGTGATGAGATGGCGCATCAGCTGGACCTTGACAGAGAGTGGGAGTTAGATGGGGGGCCAGGTACCACCTTGCTCCCCTCTTTAATGCCAGATGAGGACACTCTCAATTAGGCCGTTTCACTCTGAAGACTTTGGGGGAAAGAAACAATTAGGAGCCATTAAGTAGGATACCTGTTCTCTCTCTTTTGTTTTCTCTTTTAAAAACAAGCTGGAAAATATGCCTTAATTAACCTGCTTTTCGTTTGGAAGACAGCAGCAGAGCTTCTGAACATGTCAGTGGCTTGAAGATGAAATGGAAGAGAGCTTGTCAAACGTCTCCCTAAAAGGGCAGGAAAGCAAAACTGGGAGGTGAAAGGTTGGGTGGGCGGATTGCTCAGACTCAAGAAACTCTCCGCCAGGCACTAATTGGACTGCCAAGATGCACTGGGGCAAAGAGGAGAGATGCGGAGAAACAGCTTTGCAGTCAGGGGTCAATGATGAAGCCAGAGAGAGGCACAACCAAGACCCTCCACAGAGCAAATGCCTGAGGACCAAGCAGGGTTTCCAGCTGAAGCTGGAGCAGTTGATGGGGGCTGATGCCCACTGAACTCCTGATTTTAGGCTCTAGACCGCATTTCTCCCCCTCACCACCCCTGTCCTGCCTGCACCCTGCCCATCTTCAGCCTCACTTGGGGGATTGCTGGTGGGGAATAGGGGGAGGATTTCTGAGCACAGCATTTCCAAGGTGGAGGCTGAGGAGGAAGACCAGGGAGGGCAGGGTCCTGGAGGATCTCCAGAGGGCAAGGGCAGGGTGATGGAAGAAGCGGAGGGATGAGGATGAATGCTGCTAGGGCCAAGCAAGGAAATTCACTCACAGCTTCGGGACAGAAGAGAAAGCTTAGTGTAGGAAATGGGGTATGTTCATGCATGTATGCTAAATCACTTCAGTCATGTCAGACTCTTTGTGACCCTATGAACTATATAGCCCACCAGGCTCCTCTTTCCTTGGGATTCTCCAGGCAGGAATACTGGAGTGGATTGCCATGCCCTTCTCCAGGGGATCTTCCCTGCCCAAGGGTCGAACCTGAGTCTCTTTTGTCTCCTGTATTGGCACCACCTGTAAAGTCCTGGGGGGTATGTGAAGGTAAAGATAGGAGAATGTTTGCCCAGCTCCTTCTCCACTCTCTGTTCCTCTACTTCCCACTTCTCAGCAGAGCTTTCTTAGCAAGTTAGGTGGGCCATGCAATGGACTCCCATCCTGATTACCCAGTTCTACTGCTCCCCACTGTTGCCCTGACCTCTACCCAGAGTGTGTCCCCAGAGGGCAGAAGGTAAAGCTGCAGATCTATCAAGCCTCCTTGGTTAATTTTATTGTCATTCTCCTCCTCCCTGGTTCTTTATTTTTGAGGGAACTCTTTGGAATCCAGAGTGTATTTCCTTGATAGCTTGAACATTTTTGTAGAAAGAAGCTCTGTTCGGGGGCATAGTGTCATTCATTCATTTATGTATTCAATCATCCTCTTCTGTGTATTTATTAATTTCTTAAAGGTTATTTAAGCACCTAGAATGCCAAATATCAGGCTTCTAAGATGGTGCTGAAAATTCAGGAGATATAAGAGATGTGGGTTTAATTCTTGGGTCAGGAAGATCTGCAGGAGGAAGGTATGGCAACCCACTCCAGTATTCTTGCCTGGAGAATCCCGTGGACAGAGGAGTCTGACAGGCCACCCTCTGTAGGGTCACAAAGAATTTGACATGACTGAACTTAGCACCCTTGCACACGTGACAGATATCGTAGTGCTCAAAATGAACACTATGCAATTCCTACCCCTTTGAACTCATGTGTAGTGGAAAGGAGAAAGTCATAAGCCAGTATGCATGCTGTTATAGAACCATCCTGCAAAATGAATGGAGAAAGAACTTCTGCCTAGGACTAGAGCATGGGGAAGGTTTGATGGGAACTGGGGTGTTAAGGGTTAAGTGAGCACTGACCAGACATAAAAGGAGACGAGAAGGCTTTAAATGTGAACCTAATCGTTTTGGATGCTATCTGACTCTGCCAGGATGCCATAACAAAATACCAAACCCTGGGGAGCTTAAAGAACAGAATTTTATTTACCCAAATTCTGGAAGCTCAAGTCTGAAATCAAAGTGCTAGAATGACTAGGTTCTTGCAAGACCTCTCTTCCTAGCTGAAAGGTTGTCACTATCAACTGGGTCTGTACATGGTCTGTCCTTGGCATGGGCAGGAGGAAAATGAGAACAAGATCTCTAATAAAGGCACTAATCCCATCATGGGGCCCCACCCTCATGATCTCATCTCAACCTAATTGCATCCAAAAGGTCCCACCTCCAAATCCTGTCACACTGGGATTAAGGCTTCATTGGGTGAATTTTGGAAGTGCACATTCAGTCCATAACAAATGTGGAAAACCACTGAAGATTTTTAGGCAGATTTTTAGGAAGTGGTATAGTTAGATTTAAAATTTTAGAAATACCCGTATGTTAGCAGAAGGAATCATGAAATGAAAGGGCAGGAATGAAGACAGACAGACAAGGCAGGAGGCTGCTGAAACAGTCAAAGCAAGAGGTGATGAGGGTTTGGCAGCAAATTCCAACAGTGAACAAATAGTTGTCAAATAAGCACAGAGTGGGATTGGAGAGATTTTTGTGGCTGTCCTCAAGTTGGGTGATGGTTAAGGATGGTCATAATATTAATGCTGCAGTCAAAAAGAAATGTTCAGCTTGTGACGGTCCCCTTTCCTTGCATTCAATGTTTGGTTATTCTCCCTCCAGGAGGTGAGGGGATTTAGGATTTGGGAGCACAAATGGCAAGACATACTATGGTCTGGATTGCAATAATATTAGATGACTCCTGATAAACCCCTCTCAAATTTTGGCAAGATGTGAAATGCTGAGCTTGCCCATTGGGTAAGCGAATGAGAAGCAAAGTCCTCATAGGAGTCATAGAAATAAGTCAGAGCTGACATATTCATTGCAGACTGGCAACCTCCACCCGGATACCCAGATCACACTTGATTACTTAATTTAGATGACCATATATCCTGGTTCATGAGGAATAGTCCGATTTATACTTGTTCAGTCATAGTTAGTAATATAATCCCTTTCACTCTCAAAAGTGTCCCAGTTTGGATGCTAAAATTTAAGTTTACCTTTCACATTAACCGCAGCCTTCTTTCCCACTGAGCCCAGATGCAATCTGAAAAATCCTTCTCAACTCTGCCTTCTTTCTAAGCAATAGCTATCCATCAATCAATCAGGTACTGAAATCTACTTGCCACCTTCAACAAAAGAAAGGACATAGGTCCAATATTAGCTGGGCAATCCCGGGCATGCCACTTGTCCTCTGGGAGCCTTTGTCTCTTCATCTGACAATTGTAA